AAAGATATAGTCTTTCTGTGGCATACAATAACAGGAAGCAAAAGTATATAAACTTGAAATTATACTTGGTAATTAATGTTTTAGTATTCTGTCTTACTTAGAAGTCATCTAGCCAGCCAAGGATTATCCATTAATTAATTCAATTTAACATTAGTCCTAGGTTTTAAGTTACCTCTAAAGTTCTTGGAAATTATCTGTAAGCTGACATACTATAAAACATTATTACTATTTAAATAAAAAGTTTGTCAGAATAATCATTCAATTTAAACATAGGTTTACATTTTCATAATATACATTGTCTATCAGTAACATTGGCTTATTTGATCAGTACACCTATATATATACATATATATATATTTTTTTTGTGTGTGTGTGAGGAAGATCAGCCCTGAGCTAACATCTATGCCAATCCAACTCTTTTTGCTGAGAAAGACCAGCCCTGAGCTCACATCTATTGCCAATCCTCCTCCTTTTTTTTTTTTTTTTCCCTTTTTCTCCCTAAAGCCCCAGTAGATGGTTGTATGTCATAGTTGCACATCTTTCTAGTTGCTGTATGTGGGACACCGCCTCAGCATGACTGGACAAGCAGTGCGTCGGTGCACGCCCGGGAGCCGAACCCAGGCGGCCAGTAACGAAGCGCGCGCACTTAACCGCTAAGCCACGGGGCTGGCCCTGCCTATATATGTTTTAGAAAAGTTACTGTAATGGAATAAAAATGTATGCTTATGCTTAACACTGATAAAAAATCAGAAGACAAACTTATTAAACTAATTTTGTTTGCCATTTACCTTAGTTATGTGAACTTGGTTCTTAAAACCTTTCTGAGTTAGTTTCTGTAGAAATAATTTTAAAAAGTATAACACATTTAAAATGTTAGATGATCAATTTACTTATTTTCTGGGAATTTGGGTAATATTCAGCTTATATAAATGCATGTTTATCTCTATAAGCCAATCGTAACAGAACTGCTCCGAGATGCTTCACAATCCAATTTATTAATACCCTCTAGAGGTAGGAAAGCATTATGTACTCACAATGAGAAGTAAAGACCATTTTGAATTGCAGACACATAGCCACACAGATACTGAGAGAGCTTATCATTTCCAATTCTAAATTTTAGCCATGGCTACAGAAACGTAAAACCTGACCTGTCCAGATCCCAAAGAGCTATTCTCCTTCCTGGTCAGCATGAAATTCTTAATTGATTTGAGCCCAAAACAGGTAAACAAAAGAGATGACTAATGAATCAGATTCTCCTTTTTCTCTCACCCAACACAGAATAGATCTGTATAAATTATTCATTTGTTTACAGAGATCACTGAATGGCAGTCCATAAAATCAAATTATCAATTGTTGTTATCACCACTGGGGAAGAAGTTAATGGCTGTAAATAAACTAAAAACAAAAACAAAACAAAATTAGAAGAGAGGAAAGTTAAAATAGACAAAGTTAGCAAAATTCTGTTGCTGTTCTCATTTCACTTCTGGGAGACAGGAAAGACATGTCTGGGCTTAAGCTGCCTGTGAGATGTACCACTCTGGCAAAGGATTACCCAGCTGTGTCTGTCTGGTGCATACACTGGGTCTCTTGGAATCTCCAAAACTTTTAAAGGATAAATTTTAGAAGAGAATAAAATCATGACTCCCATTCAGATATCAAATGAACACATGTTAAATATTTTATAAATTGTCAATGAGAGAGTCAGAGAGATGTTACAGCTACTTCAAAGAAGAATGCAAAGAACAGGTACATTTATAGATCAGGAATATTGAAGTGAATTTGCAAATGGATACAAAGCTGGCTTCTTCCACAGTGGCGGAGGGAAGTCAGCTGAACTGGACAGAATTTATTTGCATGTCTGTAGACAAGAATTGTTTGCATCACCATTAGTTTTCTACGTGTTAACCTCTGTCTTTACAGTGTTGTAAAATAGCTGAATGGTAATTCCTGTAGATTAAATTATCCCTAGAGGCTCCAGCATTTCATTGGAAGGATATCCAGAAATCTCTTTAGCTTATTGCAAAGTCTTAAATTTTCTTTACAAAGTGTTTTTTTTCCTGCTTGCATTCCTGGAGAGTTATTTCTTTATCCTTGATGTTTATTAACTTAACCTTGATATGTATTTGGATCTATGGTTGAGTTTTTTTTTTTCGTACCATTCTGTAGATTTATTTTTTCTCCTTTATTTTAGGGATATTTTCTATTATGTGTGCCTGCTTTTTCTCTTCTAGTTGTTTAGTTATTCTACTTCAGAGATATTAATTATCTTTCTGTTCAATCTCTGTCTTACATCTTCTATCTAATTGCTTTGATATCTTTGTTTTTTTTCCTCCTCAGTACTCAGGTTATCTCAAGATTTTTCTCCTTCTCATTAGTTTGGTTTTCAGTCTTTGATTCTTTTTCATGCTCTTTTCAAATTCAGTGTTCTTCTTAATTGGTTTCCATAACTTTTCAATTTACCTGTTTTGTCTTTTTTTTTGGTAAGGAAGATTGGCCCTGAGCTAACATCTGTTGCCAATCCTCTTCTTTTTGCTTGAGGAAGATTGTCACTGAGCTAACATCTGTGCCAGTCCTCCTCTATTTTGCATGTGGAACACTGCCAAAGCGTGGCTTGATGAGCAGTGTGCAGGTCTGCACCTGGGATTTGAACCCGCGAACCCCGGGCCATGGAAGCAGAATGCACAAACTTAACCACTACACCACCAGGCCAGCCTCACTGTTTTGTCTTTTTATCTTTGAGCTTTTATTTTATTAAATATATGTTCTTATTAGGTTGTTCTTTGTTACAACGAACTCACTGGAGATTTCCTTATTTTCCTCGCATTATGTTTTCTTTCAGAATAGGTTCTTCCTTGTTTTGTGTGCTATAGTCGTTGCAGGCATGCACTGCATAATGCCGTTTCATCAGTGCCCGACCGCATATATGATGGTGGGCCCATAAGATTAGTACCGTACAGCTTAGGTGTGTAGTAGGGTGTGCTGTCTAGGTTTGTGTCAGTACACTCTATGATGTTCACACAACGATAAAATTGCCTAACGATGCATTTCTCAGAATATATCCCCATTGTTAAGGGATGCATGACTGTATTTGTTTCTCCCCTTCCTTTCACTCCCTTGTTTACAGTTGTAGGATCGTTTCTTTTTGTCTTGCTAGGTAAAGACTTGGATAGCTAGGTCAAGACTTTGTATTTGCCTTGATAGAACATAGGTGAATTCTTTCCCACACTTTTCCCACCTTAGTTGTGACTGTCTCCTCCTTTTACTGTAGCCCATCAGTACACCTTTTGAGCAGTGTGTTATTCTCTGCTTCTCTGTAGTTGAAGGGTATAAGATGGTGGTGGTGGGAGGACTGTTCTAGAGTCCCAGGCTCTCCTCTCTCCTTAGGTTTTAAGTGTCCTGTCCTGGTCCATCCTGCTGAGGGTGTAGTATATTTTTAGGGGCTTCAGACCCTTCCCTTAACTCAGAATAGTGCCTTGGAAGTCGACAGGTTCTGGTGGCTACTCTGCCTCAGCTGAGGTTTCAAAGCTTCTGTGCTATAGATGTTTTCTTGGACTTTTCTAGGGTGTGGCAAATCAGATCTTTTTATCGAAACTTGAGAATGTTTGTTAAAATTTTCAAGTTTTCTTAACTCACATATTTTTCGCATTAGTGCTTCCAGGCAGTATAATCAGGCTAGGAGCCAGACCACACCATACAGAATCTTTTTCTGGCCACTACTTTTTAAAGTTCAGAGGTTCTTAGTTTAAATGGTTTCTTGTTTGACTGCAGCTGATGAGTTTTGGCTAAAAAACTGTGCACACACACACACATATATGTATATATACACTGTCCCTTTTATTAGTTGTTGGGGACAGGAAGTTCTGTAATTTTGCTTCACTCCATCTTTACTTGCAAGTCTATATGAGTTCCTAAATATTTACTTTTGACATAAGTAATAACACATATGTACTCTCGAAATTTTTAATTCTTAAGGTCAGGGATGGCTTGGAATCAATTTTTTTTTAATTAAAAAAATAAACCCAACAAATTGAAGACAGTGTCATAAGATACATAATATTAGAAAACATAAATGGCCCTAAGGCATGTCTTTTCTGTTATTTGCATTTTGCTCTCGTTTGTGCTTTTACTGAATTTTTATATAGTTGCAGTGAGCGTGTAGTGACCATACCATATTATATTTCTGCTAATGTTAGCACAAACTTTTTAGTATTTCTATATCATCTTCGTAATCTCATCCTGACATGTCATAATTTGTTGAAGAGTTACTCAAATAGAGGACACTAGTTGTTTCTAGTTCTATGCTTTTATGTGTATATTGAACCTTTTTGTGTTTGTTGTTTTGTATTACCTTTAAAATAAATTTGAGAGGTTGAAATTGATGGACTAATCAACTTTATTAAATTATTATACTTCTCACCCTGGCATGTACTCTAGTGTCTGTTTATATTACTGGATGGAAATTCTTTTGAGATATTGCTTCAAATGACAGCTGATATCTCAGCCCTTAATGCCAGAAGAATTGTTTTGGTGCTATTGTATTCTTTACCTACACCTTTCTGTTGACTTGAATAGTGAAAGTTTTAAAAATTTATTCCAGTTTTTATACAATCATGTGTGCTTTAAAAAAAAGAAACAAATTCACATGTTCTTGTTTTTTAAAGAGATATATTACCCAAAGTGAAAAAATAATTTGGGTTGGAAATTGAAAGCTGTGCTGTAGAGGTGTTATTTTTTTATGCAATCAAATTTGGTAGTCTAATTTCTGGATTTTGCTATTCTCATTCATAGCCCAAGTTTATAAACGTGTTATAAAAATGTTATTTTCTTCTAACCTGAAGTTATTAATTTAATTAGTGCTTTCAATATTTATTAAGAGTTCTGTAGGAATCATGACTAGCTTTTGGGATTTGCTGCATTTCATTGTATAAGAATATGCATTCATATTATGTAATAATCCATGTAATTATCCTTATTTAGGAGTGTTTAATCTACTTTTTTGTCTCCTCAGATTCTGTCAAATTTTAAGAACAAATGCACCTTATAGCTCATGGAAGAAAAAACACAAATCAAGACATTTTTGGGTTCCAAGTTGCCAAAGTATGGAACAAAATCTGTAAGAAGTACACTGCAGCCAATGCCAAATGGGACACCTGTTAATTTATTGGGAACTTCCAAGAATGGCAATGTCAAAAGTTACATCAAAAATAATGGCTCTGATTGTCTGTTATCCCATTCATTTAACTGGAGAACGGCAAATAAATACCAGCTTAGTGCACAGAGTGCTGAAGAGCCTAACAGTACTCAAAGTTCACATGATAAAGTAATTGATCCTGAGAAACAAGCACCTACTCAAGGAATGTTTGATAAAAATGGGATAAAGGAAGGTTTGAAAAGTGTTTCTTTACTCACATCAAAGTTAGCAAAGCCGTCCACTATGTTTGTGTCATCTACAGAGGAGTTAAACCAAAAGACTTTGTCTGGAACATCTAATTTGGGTAAATTCACCAAAGGCAAATTATTGGGAAGGACTTCATATTCTTCAATCAGTGCACCAAAATCGCAGTTGAATGGATTTTATGGAAACCGATCAGGTGGTAGCATACAAAGGCCTAGAGCAAACTCCTGTGCCACCAGAAGCAGTTCTGGAGAAAGCTTAGCACAATCCCTAGACAACATTAAGTCTGTTACTTGTGAAAAAATGGTAAGGTCACAAAGTTTTTCACATTCCATTCAGAATTCATTCCTTCCATCGTCATCTATAACCAGATCACATTCCTTCAATAGAGCTGCAGATCTTACAAAGCCTTATCAGAACCAACAGCTACCCATTAGAGTGCCTCTGAGGTCAAGTATGCTAACAAGAAATTCCCGGCAGTCAGAAGTACTCAATGCGAATGAACATTTAGGGTATGGATTTAATAGGCCTTACGCTGCTGCTGGAAAGAAGTTGGCTTTACCAAATGTCCCAGGTGTAACTTCCACTTTGGGTTATAGGATGGTTCCTCCCTCTCTACTGAAATCTAGCCGACCTCCATTTTCTGGGACTATCACAGTTGATGGTAATAAAAATTCACCTGCTGATGCATGTGTAGAGGAAGATGCTGCACTTTTGGCTAAGGACAGAGCTACTGATAAGGACCAAGAACTAATTGAAAATGATAGTTACAGAACAGAAAATGACCAGACCATGAAGCATGATGCTAAAACTAGATTCCTGAGTGATGATGTGGATGACATTTCCTTGTCTTCTTTGTCATCTTCTGATAAGAATGATTTAAGTGAAGACTTTAGTGATGATTTTATAGATATAGAAGACTCCAACCGAACTAGAATAACTCCAGAGGAAATTGCTCTCAAAGAAGAAAAGCATGAAAATGTACCACCAAAGGATATATTTGATTCCCCCAAGGAAAATGAAAAATCCTTCAGTAAAACTGATGAGTGGATAGATATAAGTGTCTCTGGTAAATATTAATATCCTTAAGTTTGTTTGCTTTCTCCTAGATAATATAACTGAACTTACATTTAGGATTATTATCTGATTAATTCCAAGACACTATCAATTACATGGAGGGATGGGTCTAGATAAAATTGGAGTGGGGCAGCCTTTTTCTTCCTTGTATCTTTTGTTCCCTGTCCTGTTTTTCACTCTAAAACATCGTCAGTAAAAATGCTCTTCCCCTAAAGTATCTTACCTTTGTTCTTTTTTGTCATACACAGGCCTATTCCTAGTTGCTTCAAAATTATTTTTTCCCCACTTTCCCCAACCAATGGCATGCCATTTTAAACCATCTGTTCCCTTAGGGTAGTAGATCATTGCAATTTGTTAAGAGTAAAGGTGTACCAAAGGGTAAATGAGCTAATATAGGTTATGTCCAAACTAATGAATTTTTTTATTCTAGAAAATTTTCATTTTCTTAAGGGAGGACTTAGATTTCTTGTTTAGCAAACTTTATAGTTATGCTTTCAGAGGAGCTTTATGTATTTTTTTAATTGAGGAAACTGAGATAGCACCTGTTAGACATTTCCTCTTATACTTGGTTATCCTGGCACTAAATGCTGGAGAAAATGTATCTGTGTGCCCAGATAGCCTGAAAAAAAGAACAGACTGAAGGGATTGGGTGTAGGTGTGTGGTCTGGTCAGGAGACTAGGCCGTACATAGAGATGTGCATAAGCTCTTGACTCTCTGAGGGTCTGCTAGTCAGGAGCAACTGCCAGGACAAGTTTTTTCTTTATAAAGGAGGCAACTGTGAGGTTAAATGAAATACACAGAGTAAGGAGCGTCCTGGCCAGTGCTTAAAAGTAAATATCTTATGGGGCTGGCTCAGTGGTGTAGTGGTGAAGTTCGAGCACTCCGCTGCAGTGGCCTGGGGTTTGCTGGTTCATATCCAGGGCATGGTCTGGCACACTGCTCATGAAGCGAGGCTGTGTCGGCATCCCATATACAAAATAGAGGAAGATGGGCCGGGATGTTGGCTCAGAGCCAATGTTCCTCAGCAAAAAGAGGAAGATTGGCAACAGATGTTAGCTTAGGGCCAATCTTCCTCACCAAAAAAAAAAACTAAATATCTTAGGAAATATTAACAGAATATGAGACTTTATTCACATTTCTAGAAATGTTGCAAAGTGAAACATGGCTCAGTGAATTTTCTTCATGTTTATTGGGAAACATTTCAGTAGGTTATTTTTAAGATTTTTGCCTCTTGATTTTTTTTATTGTTTAGGATTTAGAAAATGCTACAGTTACGAATGCTTTTTTTGGCCAACTTTTTTGCTGTAATATATTATTAGAGCTTATATTTTTAGAACCTATGAAATAATTATATTTTTGTGAATTAATAACTTTTTTTTCCTCTCTTTTTAAAAAATCAGTTGAAGACAGGAGTGAATGTAGAAAACATGCTTCTGGGAATAGCTTGATTTCACCAGATACAGATTACAGAGCTGGTTCTTCATTTGAACTCTCTCCGTCTGATAGCTCTGATGGAACATACATGTGGGATGAAGAGGGCTTGGAGCCCATTGGAAATGTCCATCCAGTTGGGAGCTATGAATCCTCTGAAGTGAACAGCATAGTATGTATGGATTTATATACGCTTTTGGAACATTTTCTTTACCTTACTGTAGAGAGACTTGTGATATTGGTTGGATTTTTTAAGTTTATGAATTAACTCTCCTAGTTTGAGAAATGAGAATTCCTATCTGTTAAGGGCCTATAAAACATCTGCTCTTAATACATAATAAAGCATATATTTGTGTCATGTGACACTTGAGTTGAATATAATCTCATACACACATATTCGTAATACATACATATATACATACTGTATTGTTCAGGTTAAGCTCAAAATGGTTCTCAAAGTGGAGGAAGAGGGCATGTCTGGATACATTTTTGGTTGTCAAATTTAGGGGTGCTATTGGCAACTAGTGGATAGACCCCTGGGATGCTGCTTAACATCTTGCAATGCACAGGACAGCACCCACAACAAAGAATTATCCAGCCCAAGATGTCATTAGTGCCGTTGTTGAGAAACCCTGGACTAAGCTGTGCTGAGATAACGTTCAGGTTCCAACTCTCAGTGGCTTAACACAATAAAAGTTTATATTTTACTCTTACAAAGTCTATTGCAGATCTGGACAACTCTCTAGGGCAACTGTCTTCAGTGTTCTAAGCTGCTTTGATCTTAGAACTTCACCACCTCCCTTTGAGGCCCAGTCTTGTCCCTGTGATATAGGAAGAGAGTGCCGGAGGGCCTCACGCACACAGTTACTTGCTTTGACCTGCAAATGGCACAGGGCAGTTTCATTCACAGCCAGTTGACCTGAACTAATCTTATCTACTAAGTGGGCAGGAAGTGTAGTTTTCCTGCGAGGGAACCAGATGTGCGTGACCACTAGAAGACCTACTAAGTATTTGTACGTGCATATTTTAAGAAACATTGCAGGTAATATGAATAATATGCCATGTGAATAAGCGTAGTTGATGTGCTTAAAGTGACTCATTGTGATTACTTAGTATACAAAATACGATTTTCCAGTAGTTGTATGGGAAAATTGGTAGTCTGTTATTTCCAGGTGGATTTCAGGCAATGTAATTTTCTACGCTCATATAAACCTGTGACTTGGAAAAAATAAACATCACTACTAGAGGCTTGTTGAGTTGCACTAACAGAGAGAGGAGACACATTTAATTTAGAGAGAGTGTCTCTGTCTCATTAGAGAAAGGAAGTTCAGAAAAGATTGCAGTTTGAGGCCTTATGTGCTCTCTTCCTGGGACTTTTAAGCCAATATGGTTGAAGTGGAAATGAACATTGTGTCCAGCAGATGGCAGCAGTAAGCTAGTTGGTACCTAACATTTTTCAGAGGTTCACCATTTTCAGGTCACTGTTCCTGTAACTTGATGACAAAACAGCCTATAAAAGAGTTCAGTATGCACCTGGGTTCACTATTAGTCTTCAAGATTCATGAGTTTCTTCGTTGATCCTTAGGCTTGTGCATATGGGATGGGAAGCAACAAAAGTGTTCATTCTGTGCTTTGGAACAAGGTGGTGTCTCTGTGTCTTTTTTTTCTGATCTAAGAGGAGGACAGTCTGAGAAAAGGATGGAGAATTAATGCCAAAAGTTGAAGAGTGTGTTAAGGTCTGTGATAGTGGATTTACCATTTTTGCTATGAAATTCTATCAGTTTTTTGCTTTTTATATTTTAAGTTTATTTTCTTAGGCGTGTACCTGTTTAGAATTGTTTTCTTGGTGAATTGAATTTATAGTTATTATTTAATGATCCTCTCTATCCCTCATTATGCTTTTTGTCTTAAGGCCCTTTTATTCAGACATTAGTATATTTTATCAGTTTTAGTTATATATTTTCCATCCTTTTACTGTCAGCCTTTTTTGACATATAGCAAATAGATTATTATTTTTAAAAAGTGCATTCTGTCTTTTTAACTGGTGAGTTTAGTCCTTTATGTTTGCATTTATTGATATACTTGGACTTCACTCTGCCATCTTATTATTTTTATTTAAATTGTCTCACTTTTTTCTGTTTCTTCTTTTTCTAAAGTAGTTTAAATTAGTATCTAACTTAACCCAAAAAGAACTTCAGTGTGTTCTCATTTTTCTTGGTCCCTCCATTGCCTCTCACCAGAGACATTTCCTGACACTGTGTTGTCCGCCCCACCCCCCATGTCCTTTACAACAGTGCTCATTCCAGTCCAGGTCCAAGATAGGGAGCTTTCACTAGATTATAAGTCAACTGTGTCACTACTGACACAGTTTAATTCAATCCACTAGTTTGGCTGACATCATTTTCATAGCAAGACCTTCTCTTTGAGGTAAGCAGTGTGTTTATATACATTCTGGTGCAAGCCCCTTATCTTGTTGTGGACCCTAACAGTTTGTGGACAGACTACTTTGCATAGCACTTGTCTAGAATTTAGGCTTTTTGTTTAAATACTAACAGTGTTTTGTTGAGGTATAATTTAAATACAATAAAATGCACAAATCTTTTGCATACTGCACAGGGAATTTTGAAAATGTGTATACTTGTTTAACAGTCATCCATATTATGATATGGAATATTTCCATCACCTCAAAATGTTTCCTGTGCTTTTCAGTCATTCTTTCACCCTCTGACCCAGAGGCTCAATCATTGTTCTGATTTCCATCACTGTAAATTAGTTTTGCATATTCTTAACTCCATATAAATAAAACTATATATATGCTATTTTATGTATGGCTTCTTTGAATCAATGTTATGTATTTGTTAGTTGTAGTTTATTCATTCTTCTTGTTATATAATATATCTTTATGTGAATATGCTACAACTTATTTTATCCTGCTATTGATGGGTGTTTAGGTTGTTTCCAGTTTTTGGCTACTGCTACTGCTGTGAAGATTTTGCTACATGTTTTTTGGTGAACATTTATGCATTTCTCGTGGTAAAACATGTAGGAGAGGAATCCTTGGATTATAAATATACTTCTGTATATAGTTTTAGATGCTTTCAGTTTTCCAAAGTGGTTGTACCAGTTTACACTCCCACTGCAGTAAATGAGCATTCCAGGAATGCCACTTTCTAGTCAACACTTGGTGTTGTCTGTCTTTTTGTGTTTTTGCTCTTCTGGTGGAGGTACAGTAGTTTGCACTGAGATTTTTGTCTTGTGTCTTATGATAACTGCTTGTTAAACACCTTCACATAGGTTTATTTGCCATTAGGATATCTTCTTTTGTAAAGTGCCTATTATTGGGCTGTATGTATTTTTTCTTATTGGTTTGTAAAAATCCTTCATATATTTTGGATATAAATTTTTTATGTATATACATACACACAGACATATATACACATGTACATATATGTGTATATATTTTATATATATGGGTTGCTTTTTAAATCTCTTAATAGTGCCTTTTGACAAATATAAGTTAACAATTTTACTATAGTCCAATATACTATTTTTTTCTTTATTGTTAGCACTTTTTTGATCTGTGTGAAATTTTTATCTACCCTGAAGTCATGAAGATATGTTCTAGTGGTTTCTTTTAAAAGCTTTGTTTTTTAACTTTTCACATTTAGATCTACAAGCCATCTGGAAATTATTTTAGTGCATGATATAAGGTAGAGGTCAAGATTAATTTTATTCTTTTTTGGAAAAGTCATCTTTCCCCTACTCTACCACAGGGTTATCTTTGTCATAAATCAGTGACTGTATCTATGTATTTCTTGACTCTTTTTTAGTTCATTGGTCTCTTTGTTTATCCTTGTGTCAGTGCTACAATGTTTGAATTACTGTAGCTTTAAAATAAGTACTGATTGCCCTAGCTTGCCATTTGTAACCTATTTAAATATTAGAATGAACTTGTCAGTTTCGACAAAGAACCTGCAGAGGTTTTGAATGGGATTGCACTAAATTTATAGATTAATTTGGGGAGAATTTACTATGGTGAGTCTTCCAGTTTCTGAATATGGTATGTTTCTACATTTGTTTGAGTCTTTAGAGATATTTCTTGCTAATGTTTTGTACTTTTCTATAAAATTTTATACATACACATACATATACATATATGCTTTATTTTTAGGTATTTGATTTTGTTGCTATAAATAAATTTGATTTTGTTGCTATAAATAAAAAAGAACTTTTAAGATTTTATTTTCTAAGTTTTTTTAATATATACAAATATACTTGATTTTTGTATTTTGACTTGTTTTTCCAATGACCTTGGTAAATTCACCTACTAGTTCTAATAATTTGCCTGTGAATGTTTTTGGAGTTTCTGCATATACTGTACAATGTTGCCATTTGCAAAGTCTGTCCCCCTACCTTCCCCTTTATTGCGTTGGTTAGGACCCGCAACATAATGCTGAATTGAATGGTGAACAGAATTTCAGGAAAGTATTAATAGTTCACCATTAAAGTGTGTGTGTATGTGTGTGTCTGTGTGTGTATGTGTGTGCATTAAAGTTTCTGTGTGTGTGTGTGTGTGTTGGGGGGCCGGGTTGTAGATATCTTTCATCAAATTAAGAAGTTCCCTTTTATTTCATTTGCTGAATTTTTGTTGTGAGTGAATGTTAGTTTTTACCAAATACTTTCTCTACATCTATTGAAAGGATCAAATTATTATTATTTTTTCTGTTAGTGTGGTAGATTGCATTTCTTGATTTTCAAATGTTAAACTACCTTTCCATTCCTGCAATAAATTCATTTGGTTGTGATGTATTATCCTTTTCAATGTTGTTAGACTCGATTTCCTAATAGTTTATTCAGGTTTTTTGCATTTATGTTCGTGAGCAAGATTGCTCTGCAATTTCTCTCTCTTTTTTTTTTTTTTGGTATTCTTGTCATGTTTTGGTATCAAGGTTATGCTGGCTTTATAAATGAATTGAGAAGTGTTTCCTTTTTTTCCTTGCCCTTTGAAAAAGTTTATGTACAATTGATGTTACTTCTTCCTGAAATGTTTCAAGAATTCACCAATGAAACCTTTTGGACCTGGAGTTTTCTTTGTGAGAAGGATTTTAATAACAGATTTGATTTTTAAAATAGATATTGGCCCATTAAGATTTATATGTATATTTCTTCTTGTGTTGGTTTTTGAGAATTTATTTCACCTATGTTGTCATTTGTTGGTGAAAGTTATTCAGGATTATCTTATTTTTTTAACATCTTTGTGGTCTTGTAGTGATGTTCACTTTTTCATTCCTGTTATTGGTAATTGGTGTTTCCTGTCTGTTTCTTCATTTCAAAGAACCAAATTTGGGCTTTGATGATTTTTCTCTATTGTTTACTTTTTT